CACACACACGCACACACACACACACACACACGATAATTATGATTATGACTATTATTATGATATTAACAATAATTATTACATATGTATCAACCAATACATATACATATAGTTAGCAACCGAAAATCATATAGTAATATGTGACTATATACAAATATCAAAAAGTTTTTCTCTCTTTCTCTATGTTTTAATTCTTCAACGCCTCTTTAATCCAGGTGCGAAAACTCGCGTGAAATAGAGAGATAGCGTGTTCTACAAGACAATAAAACGAATGTGGCCAGCAGGTATATCAGCCATTCGCTGCACTCTGACTTTATGCGTGTACTTAGCGTGTCGACGTCTACCGCGTTTCTTGATTAAAACATTTAGTAGCTGCAACAGCACGTCTTTCACGCGAAGAGAGAATCGCTATCTACTAATTGTATATACGCGACTTCTGTTTCGCATTCGTTCACGCTGTAAGGTTGCACGAAATGGTGCGAATCGTTGGACAGAAACGTTTATCTTTTCCGCGAATGAATATTTATACTCAGGTCGTCCCATAGCGGTTTCTCGATACCTCGGCGAACAAGGATTACCGACCGCGCTCTTACCGTACGGTTATCGTTTGGCTATTTTGCAATTCCGCCATTTCTGCCGCGAAGCTCCTCGGGGTAACAAAAGCGAGAAGAGAAGGGTGAAGAATGAAAGGAGAGGTTGGACGGGAAACTAACTCGCCGCGTTGATGCCGCGCCCCGTGGCTGTTGCATGGACCAGCACCGAGTAATTTCACGAGGTTATTTCTGGAACGCGCGTGGTCCTCTCATTCGAGAACGGAGAAACTTTATAATCGCTTAGTGCGTGCTATTTCGTTCTTCCCTTTCTTCCGCATGTTCGCTACCGATGGTTCTTTGTGATCGCGATGCGGCCTCCTTTCCGCAGAACACATATCGTTCAATCCATATAGTATTTGCTGTCGATCCTCTCTATTGTTGGTTATAGATAATTCACAGGTATTATCCGCAGCGAACTTTCCAGTTGATTATTATATTTTAGTATTAATATACACACCACACACATATATGGATTGAAGATTAATGCTCGTTTCTACCAATGTAGATTAACTTTAATCTCGGTTCAAGTTACTTTTTATCTTTTTCTAATTAAAAAAAAAATGAATCTCTTTTTGGAACTAAAAAAAATGAAGAATTAATTGAACTAAGATTAAAGTTAAAACTACATTGGTAGAAACGGCATAAGTCATTTGATAGGATGTTAAAAAAAAGGAGCTGATTCTGTCCAAGTGAGTGTAATAAAAGGAATACTATTTTTTTAAAATAAATATATAATATATTGATCTCAGCTTAAATAAATTGTATAAGCGAAAAGAAACATCTCGATAAATTGAACACGAACATCCTAATTTTCATGTTTTTGCTTAATTTAGAAGGTTTTAATTGTTCCCTAAATATATCTCTCACGAACTTTATAGTTTATCGTATCCAGGAGGTTAAAATCTACAAAATATTATTTTTTTTACTTACATCTTTTTAGGCAGAAATTGGTCCTTTTCTAACATCCTATTTTGCAAAACAATAATATATGTATTTTAACGTTTTACTATTTTTGTTTAAAATTGATACTTTCAATTGCATCTAATTTTGCAAATATTAATTTCCTGTCTTATTAATTTCTTATAAAACACTAATATTTAGAATTCTACGTGAATTCATTTTCCTGTCAAAAAGTTATGAAGAACAACGATGTATTGCAAACCTTTTTATTAGTTTTGATTGTTTAAAACTGAAACTTTTAATTTCATTTAATTTCGCAAGCACATTAATGTTTTATTATTCTTTATAAAATAACACAAATTTTTAGAGTTTTAAAGTGAATTTTTTTCCGCTAAAAAGCTATTAATCTCTCACTTTGAAAATTAAATTTTCAATCGTTGTTTATTCACTATTTTTGTTGGATTTTCTGTACAACGGTGCAATTTAGCAATTGCAATTCATTAAAGGATTAAAACAATCGTATTTTCTTCAACTTGTCTCCTATCTGTCGTTAAAAGATATCCTGTGGTTTCGCGACGACTTGCGTATCGACGGAAATTGCACGTGTGTCTTTTCCAGAGGTCGTTCTTGGCCGCTCGAACGAACGAACTCTCCATTTTATTCCGTACGGGTAACAGAACCGACTTTATTTAAATCCGCTCGGGTTTTTCGCTTCGCCTCAGTCCAGATGTCGGCTGTCGCAATGAGATCCTAAATGGAGCCACAAATTGACTGTGTGAGAACGCTTAATTTCCGCGGCGCGCCGCGCCGGTATTGATTTTCCAGACAAAACGCCGATCGCGCGTCAGTTTCAATCGACACCGACGAATCTCTTTCCGATAAACGGTGTTGGACCGATCAACGCTCTACAGACTGCGAAAATTCGCGGGTGACTTGGTCACCCTTAAAGGCCCGCAATGAGACGTATGACGTTTATTGCCGCGTAAAAGGCGGTTCTAGCTACGAGCTATGAATGATAGCGTGTTTGCGAACCTCGGTCATAAAAGACGTTTATTATATCTGGACGCGCAATGGTTCTCGTGAAAGAAATTTGCTATTTATGAAACTATGTAATAATCTGATGGCTTAGCAACTTTGAAATCTATAACAGTTCTTTAACTCGTAATAAAAAGATCTTCGAGGATCTATAAATCAGAGCTACTAATCTCAATGCTTAGAATCTCGTGCTTAAATGCGAGAATTTTGTAGTCTTAGATCGCATCCCACATCTTAAAAATGTATCGAAAAAGAAGAAAAAAGGAAAAGCATTTATAATGAAAACAAGAATACTTTATAAAAGTTTTATGATTATCTTGTGACGCCATTCGATAATCTTATTTTGATGAGAGATCAACTGTGTATTTATATTTAACTTAATTAAGGCAACATGATCGCTTTAATTAAGTTAAATATAAATCGGATTAAACTATAAAATACACGGTTTTTATGAGACATCCCGCAATATTACATGTGCTACATAAATAGTAAAAATCTCGTATTATTTCATTATTTCATTTTGCTTTTGATATAAAGTGATATAAAATCAAATCAGCAATAAATAATTGGATAGGTTATGATAGA